CTGAGCAACCACCCCATAAGTCCAATGCAGTCCAGTGTCACCTTCGGTCACCTCCTGAGACCTTTCTACCATCAGTGGGCCCAAATTACCACAGACAAATGGGTCCTATAAATTATCAGATTGGGTTGGACAATCCCATTTACTTCCATGCCCCCTACCCCATCCCTCTTCAGGGACCCCTCTCACGAGCCCCTATTAAGGGCAGAGGTACAGAAGCTACTTACCTTAGGAGCTATAGAACCCGTCCCCAAAGAACGTTGGGGAAGGGGTTTTTACTCCAATTATTTTTTCACCGCCAAAAAATCACAGCCAAAAATCCACCATACAGCCGATCCTCGATCTCAGGAAACTCAACAAGTTCATTTGCAACACAAAATTCAGAATGGTGACCTTAGCAACAATCATACTTGCACTGGACGAGGGGGACTGGTTCTCAGCCCTCGACCTACAAGACACATATTTTCATGTGACTATCCATCTGTCCCACAGAAGATTTCTCAGATGTGTCGTGGAACAAGATCATTATCAGTACAGAGTCCTCCCCTTTGGCCCTTCTATGGCCCTTCGAGTTTTTTCGGAGACGCTAGCCATAGTCACGGCCTTTCTCAGGAGGCAAAACATCATTATCTTCCCTTATCTAGACAATTGTCTAATCAAGGGCCCTACCGATCAGCAAACTATCATCATGACAACTATTACCAGGGCATGTTTTTCCTGACTCAGCCTACTTATCAACATGCAAAAATCTACTATACAGCCCGCACAAAAGATAAGAGTTCATTGGGGGATTGTTAGACCCTGTCACAGCGAGAGCCTACCTCCCGCCACAAAGATTCAGGGTGATCTGTGACCTCGTTCAACAGGTCAGACAGGATCCCTTCTCCACGGTCCACACATACCTTCAATTATTGGGGCAAATGGCGGCCACGACCTTTGTGGTCTTGTTCGCAGGGCTGCACATGTGTTGCCTACAACATTGGCTTGCAATCAACTGTGTACCAAGTCAACACAGCCTCGCGAAGCACCTCTCACTTCCTCTACCAGTGTTGCAGTCCCTCGAATGGTGGACATCTCTGAACAACCTCCTCGTCGGTATACCCTGCCACCGACCAGACCCTTCAGTTAACTATTAACAACAGATGCATCACTCATAGGCTGAGGAGCCCACTGTGGCGCAGCATGAATACAGGGCACATGGGCCTAACACGAGTTCAGGGCCATTCGCAGGGCTTGCACCCATTTCCTTCCCCTGATAAAGGGCAGAACTATCCGTTTCCTCATGGATAACACATCGCCCATGTTTTATGTCAACCGGCAGGGGGGGTGCCCAATCACACGCTCTATGTGCCGAGGCAGTCAAATTCTGGAACTGGTGCATCAGAAACCAGATAACCCCAACGGCCATTTACATACCAGGAGAACAGAATGTGAGAGCCAACAAGCTGAGCAGACATTTCTCAGATCAGCATGAGTGGGAGATCAATGGCAATGTCCTCCTTTTAGTCTTCTGCAAATGGGGCTTCCCAACTATAGACCTCTGTGCAACACCTCACAGACGCAAATGCCACAGATTCTGCTCTTGGGCAGGACTAGGCAAGAGGTCAGAAGGGGATGCCTTCACCATCTGCTGGACAGCTCCCCTACTTTATGCCTTTCTACCACTCCTGCTTATTGCCAGAGTGATCAACAAGATTCGATCCGATTGGTCCACAGTAATCTTAATAGCCCCAGGCTGGCCGAGTGTTCCCTTACCTACACTTCCTGACAATAGATCAATCTATCCTTCTCCCGGCGGTGCCAGATCTCCTCACGCAGCACCATGGCAGTATACGTCACCTCAATATCAAAACCATGAAACTCACGGCATGGTTTCTCCATGGTTCCAGAATAAAGAACTTACCTGCTCGGACAGGGTCAAACAAGCTCTACTGCACAGTCAGCGTCCCTCTACAAGAAGCACCTATCAAAACAAATGGACACATTTTCATCAGTGGTGCACGAGGCGCAATTTGCACCCCACCACAGTCCCCATACCTACCTTACTCAACCACCTCATGGGCCTCAACGATGCGGGCCTCTCCATCAGTTCCATCCGGGTCCATCTGTCGGCAATCATGGCCTTCCATGATCCGGTGGACAGCTTCTCTATTTTCGCTGATCCCGTGGTGGAGCATTTTCTCACAGGTTTACTGAAAATGCATCCAAACCTTTGCCCCTTGGTGTCACCGTGGATGTGAATTTGGTCCTTCATACGCTCACCAAGCCACCCTTTGAGCCATTAGCAACTATACCACCACAGTATCTGTCTGTGAAGGTGGCATTCATAGTAGCAATAACATCAGCTAGAATGGTAGGAGAAATCACAGCCATCGTGGCGGACCTCCTTTCACTGTATTTACCAGGAATAAAGTCATACTTAAACCTCACCCCAAGTTCCTCCCTAAGGTTATATCTAATTTCTACATAAATGAACCCATTTATTCACTTGCCTATTTCCCTAATTTTCACACCTCCCCCAAGGAGGCTATCTTACATACGTTGGATGCAAGGAGGGCAATCACATTATACCTTGATAGAACTAGAGCAACGAGGAAATTGGATAGACTCTTCTTCGTATGGTCATATCCACACATAGGAACAGCAGTTCTGGCACAGCACCTATCCAAGTGGCGTTTATGAACTTAGGGGCAGACAGCCACCGCAGCCCATCAGGGCTCATTCCACATGTGCGATGGCCACTACAATGGCCTTCCTGAAAAATGTACCGTTGGCAGATATTTGTAGAGCAGCCACTTGGTCCTCACACCATACTTTCGCACAGCACTATGCCCTACACAAGGGGCCAATACCCTCCACATCTCTAGCAGATGCGGTCCTTCCTTCTTCCCCATAGGCTACGTCTAGACTGCAAGCCTCTTTCGAAAGAGCGTCTAGACTACAAGCAGTACTTTCGAAAAAGCAAGCCGCTTTTTCAAAAGAAAGCACCCAGGCAGTCTGGATGCTCTCTTTCGAAAAAGCTCTGTTTGCATTCAAGAACGCCTTCTTTCGAAAGAGCACTTTCGAAAAAAGGCGTTCTTTCTCGTAAAATGAGGTTTTCTGCCGTCGAAAGAAAAGCCGCGTTCTTTTGATTTAATTTCGAAAGAATGCGGCTGTAGTCTAGACGCAAGTGAATTTTTTTTGAAAAAAGGCTACTTTTTTTCGAAAAAACCCTTGAGTCTGGACACAGCCTTAGAGAGACTCCAGTGCCCACTTCCATCGGGCGGGTACTGCTATGGAGTCACCTGAGTGGAGCACCCACAGAGACACCACTTGATGATGAATAAGAAGTTACTCATCCTGTGCAGTAATGGTGGTTCTTTGAGATGTGTGTCCCTGGGGGTGCTCCACTCCCCTCCCGTCTTTTCCTCTGCTTTGGAGTGTACAGGGACTTCAGGTAGAAAAGGATCAGACGAAACTTGCACCGCCTGTGGGGGGGGGGGGGGGGGGGGGAGTGCTGAGTGCGCAGGCACAGCGCGAGAGGCACTGCTACCAAAAATCTCCGATCCTGAGTGGATATCCACAGGGACACACATCTCGAAGAACTATCGTTACTGTACAGGGTGAGTAACTTCTCCTTCCCAATCTCCTCCATGTCTCCCTTCGCACTGATTCCCATCTCCAACTTGCCCAGTTGGCTCACCCAGGTCACTGGCGAGAACAGGCACCCTAATCCACATGCGCTCCACCACAGAGCATGGCATTTGTATGGGCATCTGCTTTGGAAGGGGTGTGCTTTTCAGCTGTGCAACATTCTCTCCAGCAGCAGGAAGGATTCCACCCAGCAATGTTACCAAGCCAAATTCTCCTCTTGAGCTTAACAGAAAGGAGTTTTACCAGAGTAGGTGGGGGTTCCCCTCATTCTACACTACGTTCTTTCCGTAAAGTCATCAGCTTCAGTGCTTTGAGAGTCCCCCAGGAAGTGATTAGTGCATTCCACCCTCCAGTGGAAGGTTACTCTGTGCTAACCACTAGGTTTTGAAAAGGGCTCATCAGACCCTTCCAGCCCATTCAAGTGAGCATACCACAACAGAATCTGAATCTAATTCTCTCCATGCCAGCAAAGCCTCCCTTTGAGCCATTAGTATCATACTCCATTCCCTCTGTCCATGGGTGTCATCTTCAGTGTTGCTGTCACTTCCACAAGAAGTTATGATGGCAGATCCATCTCTCATGGTTTTTTCACAGCGATAAAGTCTCCCTAGATCTACGGTCGAATTTTTTTACCGAAGATAGTCCCCCAGTTACACCAGAATCTGTTCACTTCCATATTTTCTTCCTCAGACCACATGCCCCTGCAGAAGAATGTCAGCTCCATTCTTTTGATGTCCAGCAAGCTCTGAGTTTCTACTTGCAAAGAACTAAACCAATTAGGAAGTTCCCCCAGACTGGGCTGCTCATAGACAGACGTAGAGCGGCCTCATGGAGGACTTGCCATCAGATGCCTCATTCATCACAGGGGTTCTCTGCAACGCCATTCCATCCTCATCCTCACACCCTGCTCCATCTTAGACACTGCTTGTTATCACCCTCAAGGTAATACAATAGGGGCCATTGCTCAAAGAAGAAGAGGTGTAACTGGAGTGTTTTGAGATGTCATCCCTGCCTTTATTCCATGCCACCCTGCTTCCCTCTGCTGCACTTTCAAACTTGCAGTGGAGAAGGAACTGGAGATGTGGTCAGTCTACTCTGCCCTTTATTGCCTCTTGACAGAAGTACATGGTGAGCATGGACAGACCAGTAGAATAGGCAGACCAATAGAAGCTGCTTTCACATTCTCCGATTGTGAACTCAGGATGCGTATGTATAACCCCCAGTAGAATCCAGATAGGGAGCACACATCTCAAAGAACCTCTAGTTACCGTAAGTAATGGCCAGTTTTATGTGCTGAATGTCTCAAAGAAACCGTCAAAGCGACGCTCAGCATCTTAGTAATGGAAACATTGCTCTTTCTCTTTTGGCAGGCCTGCAAAGTGCAGCACAACCCTGGATTGCCTTCTCTGGCTCGGTGTGGCACCCCAGCATGCCCTCTGTTGATCTCATCTCACCCACCATTGAGGAACCTGCCAATAGGGGTAAGCCAAATCCCTCCTTATCCTTCCCCCTCCCCCCAACTTTTGCACCTTTCCGTAAAGTTTCCTTTTTCATAATTGTGTTGTTTATAGGGAGTAAAATTAAAAGAAAACTTTACAAAAAGATGCAACGCTATAAAAAAAAAAACCAAAAAAAGCAAAACAAGACTTGCATTGTACCCCTCTAGGCAGTCTCTTCAGTGGTGGGTGGGACATCACCAGTAGAGGGCATGCTGGGACGTTGGCCTGAGCGGGATCTGCGAGGGGTCTGCACTTTGCAGACCTGTGCAAAGGGGCAGATAAGGTAAGTCCTGCTTACCCCGTTCGTCTGGAGCATTCAGCACATAAACATACATCTTGCATTTGTGCCTGTAAAGAGTAGTTGCTTACTGTGCATTTTTAGGATAGGTATTGGGGTAGCAGTATTTAAGAAATCTGGTATCCTATCCTCATAGAAAAATAACATGTTATGTTCTTGTAAAATGCACCAACATCTGGATTGGCACTGTGTCCACTCTCATTTCGCTTTTGCATGGGCCGTGCCCATAAACCATTGAAACCCACCACCTAATCCCTGCGTGTAGAATGATAGTAAGCAGCCCAGGGTTAACACGATCCCAGCAGATCAAATTTTCTTTCTCTCTCTGTTCTTTTTGACTTTCTGTCTGTTGTTTCAGATAATTGTTTCAGCAAATTTCAGACAAACAACATAGGGGGATAATTCAGGGTGACTCAAATTACAACCAAGAGATAGATTTATGGTACAAATGAAAACTGGAAAATGTAAAAACAAATAAGGCCTACTTGCGTACAAAGAGAAGAATAGACCCAGAGGAGCAGTTAGCTTTCTTTGCTTTCCTGGATGTTTCTGAGGGATTTGGATTCACTTAATTACATTCTAAGAAGGAAAGCGAAACCAGAAAGAAAACACTAAGGTCCCGTTTTATTGTTTGTGAGTTCCCTGCTGTGCGTCTGACTCACCTGGAAAGTCCTTTAGAATTTTCCTCACATTTTTCACCATCTTGTAAGGAGGATGGATTATAGGAATTGGTTCATTGTTGCTCATTAAGCACTGTGAGAGCCTTGGATGGAAGGTGCTATCTAATCAGTTATGAAAATAGTACAGTAAACTTCCGATAATCCGGCACCTTTAGGACCCAGGCGGTGCCAGATTATCAGATATGCCGGACTATCGGAAAGGGGGCTATGAAGGGTCTGGGGTGGGGTGAGGGGGATGCCACCCCAGACCCCTCATAGCCCCCCCTTCCAATAGTCCGGCACTGCCCCAGGCGTCCCTGATTCAGCCTCACTGACCCTTGGTGCAGCGAGACCAACCCAGCAGCACCCCAGCTACTCTGCCCCAGGTGTCCCCAAGTCAGCCGCTGCTGATACTGATCAGCGGCCGACCTCCCTGACA